CATTATGTCAGGTCACCCCCCAATTAGCATAGGTCCAGGCAAACCCCCCGAAACAAATTATGCCAGATAACCCCCCAAATAGCATCGGTCCATGCAAACCCCCCGAACCACATTGCGCCGGGTAACCCCTCAAATCGCATCGTTCCATGCAAACCCACCGAACCACATTATGTCAGTTCACCCCCCAATTAGTATAGGTCCAGGCAAACCCCCCGAAACAAATTATGCCAGATAACCCCCCAAATAGCATCGGTCCATGCAAACCCCCCGAACCACATTGCGCCGGGTAACCCCTCAAATCGCATCGTTCCATGCAAACCCACCGAACCACATTATGTCAGGTCACCCCCCAATTAGTATAGGTCCAGGCAAACCCCCCGAAACAAATTATGCCAGATAACCCTTCAAATAGCATCGGTCCATGCAAACCCACCGAACCACATTATGTCAGGTCACCCCCCAATTAGCATCGGTCCATGCAAACCCACCGAACCATATTGCGCCAGGCAACCCCCCAGATAGCATCGGTCCATGCAAACCCACCGAACCACATTATGTCAGGTCACCCCCCAATTAGCATCGGTCCATGCAAACCCCCCGAAACAAATTATGCCAGTTAACCCCCCAAATAGCATCGGTCCATGCAAACCCCCCGAAAAAAATTATGCCAGTTAACCCCCCAAATAGCAACGGTCCATGCAAACCCCCGAACTGCATTGCGCCAGGTACCCCCGTGCAGATTACACGTGGAGAAGGTGATGGCGACGGCAAAACGTCGACTGTAAGAAGAAGGTGGTGACGGTGAAGATTCGACGTGGAGAAGGTGATGGCGACGGCAAAACGTCGACGGTAAGAAGAAGGTGGTGACGGTGAAGATTCGACGGGATGAAGGTGATGACGACGGCAAAACGTCGACGGTAAGAAGAAGGTGGTGACGGTGAAGATTCGACGGGATGAAGGTGATGGGGACGGCAAAACGTCGACGGTAAGAAGAAGATGGTGACGGTGAAGATTCGACGTGGGGTGATGGCGACGGCAAAACGTCGACGGTAAGAAGAAGGTAGTGACGGTGAAGATTCGACGTGGGGTGATGGCGACGGCAAAACGTCGACGGTAAGAAGAAGGTGGTGACGGTGAAGATTCGATGGGATGAAGGTGATGGTGACAGCAAAACGACGACTTTAAGAAGAAGGTGGTGACGGTGAAGATTCGACGTGGAGAAGGTGATGGCGACGGCAAAACGTCGACTGTAAGAAGAAGGTGGTGACGGTGAAGATTCGACGTGGAGAAGGTGATGGCGACGGCAAAACGTCGACGGTAAGAAGAAGGTGGTGACGGTGAAGATTCGACGGGATGAAGGTGATGACGACGGCAAAACGTCGACGGTAAGAAGAAGGTGGTGACGGTGAAGATTCGACGGGATGAAGGTGATGGGGACGGCAAAACGTCGACGGTAAGAAGAAGATGGTGACGGTGAAGATTCGACGTGGGGTGATGGCGACGGCAAAACGTCGACGGTAAGAAGAAGGTAGTGACGGTGAAGATTCGACGTGGGGTGATGGCGACGGCAAAACGTCGGCGGTAAGAAGAAGGTGGTGACGGTGAAGATTCGACGGGATGAAGGTGATGGCGACGGCAAAACGTCGACGGTAAGAAGAAGATGGTGACGGTGAAGATTCGACGGGATGAAGGTGATGGCGACGGCAAAACGTCGACGGTAAGAAGAAGGTGGTGACGGTGAAGATTCGACGGGAACAATACAGTTGCAAAGCCGCCTCATGCAAAACTGAACGGATACATGTTTGACGCAAAAATGTGCACACAAACATACATACACCTCATACACACACTTGCACACTACTCAACACACATGCATACTACAGAACGCACAATAGAACAAACACAGGAAGCGCATCACAACACTGGCATACCGCAGAGTGCAAAATCCTTTCTCTCCGCACGGTTAACTAAGTAAATAATTCAACCTAAACCATATCATGATGCCAGGCCATGCCCCCCAATCACATCATGCCAGGCCATGCCCCCCAATCACATCATGCCAGGCCATGCCCCCCAATCACATCATGCCAGGCCATGCCCCCCAATCACATCATGCCAGGCCATGCCCCCCAATCACATCATGCCAGGCCATGCCCCCCAATCACATCATGCCAGGCCATGCCCCCCAATCACATCATGCCAGGCCATGCCCCCCAATCACATCATGCCAGGCCATGCCCCCCAAATCACATCATGCCAGGCCATGCCCCCCAAATCACATCATGCCAGGCCATGCCCCCCCAATCACATCATGCCAGGCCATGCCCCCCCAATCACATCATGCCGGGCCATGCCCCCCAAATCGCACCATGCCAGGCCATGCCCCCAAATCGTATTGAATAGGCAAAACCCCAA